AATTATTTGAATTATTATCTAAAACAAGTGAAAATTTAGTAATTAATATAAATTCTAATAAAGCGATCACTATAATATGAAAAATCAAATTTATGGCTTCATCTTTTATTAAAGATAATTTGCAAGTAGTGATGAGACTAACAATACGAAAAATAGGTTATTCCTAATTTTGATATTAATAATTTATAAAGAATTGTATTTTTTCACTGGTTACGAGGTATGGCATTTGAATTTTTAATTTTTATGCCATGGATTATTTATATTATTTGTTCAATATTCAGTTCACATTTATATAGTGATGTGAAATGCGTGTCTCAAAATAACGTGCAGGGATGTGTTATTTACGACTATACAGTATTACTTTCAGAAATTAACAACGCAGTTGATTTATTTTAACAAATAAATTAATTCAATTTTCAATGATTTTTAATTCTGATTTTTCTTTCATAAAAGAAGTAATACAATGCAATTCTTTATATATAATATTTCATTCCTATTATCGTTACAGTATTGTACCAAATGCCTACATTACAAAAAAAACTTCCATCACTTGTGTTAAAAGAAGTCTTTAAGATTTTAGCAAATGATATTAAAACACTTTATTCTTGCACACAAGTAAATTCCGAATGGTTTTGTGAAGCATCTCCATTATTGTGGCGTGATCCTTTTTCAAATAAATCAAAGACACACTTTGCTATAGGAACTTACATACAAGAAATGTTTCTTCAAAAAAAGCAAATTATCAAAAAAAATTTTAACATTTCAAGATTCAAATCTAATTTATTATTACCATACTCTTCATTTTTACGATCTATTAATATAAATAATTTCATGGATGCTATGATCAACTTTTGGCAAAATTTCCATAAATATTCTCAAGATTGTATGAGAATATTTAATATAAAAATGATTTTTAAACTTCTTATTCAATTATTGTTGAATAAATCTACTAAAATTCAACACTTTAAATTCGTAGATTTATACTATAATGGTTTTCCAGATTTAGGCAATTATCTAGTAAAATTAGTTGAAATTCAGAATGGATTAAAACACTTTTCACTTATAAACACACTTATACACACTCATGACACATATTTTTTAAATGCCCTACAATATCAATCACACTCTCTTTTATATTTAGAATTTAATTTTGTTGAATTTAAACAAGTTTCATTAATTGGATTTATAAAAAAGTGTCAATCCCTTTCAAAATTAATTATTTACAATTGCTTATTTGAAAACGAATACGATCAAAATAATTTAACAAACCAAATTCCTCTTAAACAACTTGTAATTTATAACTCTACAGCACCTGTTATTAAACTTCTTTCACTTTGCAATTCAAGTTTAAGAACCCTAAAAATCATAGGTCCACGTTGTAAAGATAAAATTAAGAAAATTTTTGAAATAGCTTTTGAAAGTTGCCCAAATATTGTGGATTTTTCACTTGGATTAATTTCATGTAATCTGGATTATTTAGAGATTTCTTGGGTTTCAAGCTTGCAATACTTGATACTGTATCAAAATCACTTTGTTGTTAATTTAAAAAATATGAAATTAGGAGATTATTTAGAAAAACTAGCAAAATTATTGCCTAAGTATATAAAAGAAGTTAAAATGTGGATGATTTTGCAATCAGGTTATGAGAGTGAAGTAACTTTAGATGACTTAAGTAAATTCTTTAGTAATATTAATACCAGAAACTCATTTGTCCTTTTAGAAATTCTTATTCCTTATAATGCGCAGGTGCTTTCTAAGAGTATTCAATTTGATGAATTTGGAAAACAAGAAGAAATCGGAAGTAAAAATCTTAAAAATTTAATCAATTATAATACTTCAGTCGACATATTATTTTAAGTTTAAATTATATGAAAAAAAAGTTTCCAAACTCTTGTGAAGGTATCTTCTCAAATAATGCCAGTAAATAGAAAACCATGAGCCGAGCCGTAACTCTGGTTAAATTTGTAAATTTTATTAAGAAAAAACTGAAAGATTTTACATAAAATTTGAATCACTAAAACTTATCATTGGCCGATGAGAAAGAGAAATGACGATGATCTAATAATCTTTCAATATATAAATTAATGGTACTATCGGAGAATATTCATCTTCACTTATTGAAACTCCAGATGATTATTTTTATTTTTATTATATAGTACTTTCTTTTATCTGTATACGTATTTAATGTTAACACGTATTTAATTTATATAAAAAATTAAATAAAAAATCTACAAAATTAAAAATAATTGAACTTTAGCATTTTTGTTTAAAAAAAGAATGATTTATTTGAATGTAAACTATGACAATAATTAATTTATTTGTTGTAAGTGTGGAAGTGATTCTGAATTTTTAAATAAAACTCATTTTAAGTTGATTTGATCATTTTTTTTTAAAGTCATACAATAAAAAACAGAGCTTTTTTTTCATTCAAATTTTAAATATAAATGATTTTGCATTTGAATAATTTAATTTTTTAAAATATTAAAAATCCCCTGAGTAATATAGAAGCTCGCAAATGGTCATACAGTCAAACCTCTCTTAATGCAATACGACGGGACCATATATAAAAATTTAGCCAAATGTGTACTTAGAGAGGTATTGCATTTATGGAGGTAAAAATCTATAGGCGTAATATTAGTTAGAGTTAGGACCAAGAATTCAGTCCCTCAGTAATTGTCAACCGACTTTATGAAAGATTTGTAAAAAAAATTGGCATTTTTAACTGGTATTCATCTAATGAGTAAAGAGAAGTAATTTTTCTTGTAGAAGTTTATCTGTTTTTTTCGAGATTTAATTTTATCAACCAAAAGTAAAAGTAAATTTTATGATCTAAATATCTAATTTTGTGATTACCTTATTTCGTAAATGAGAATTATTCGTCATTATTGAAGCTAAACATTTATCATTATGTAAAATATCTTATTACCTTCTGTAATTCCTTGTTTATTAATATACAATAGACTCAAAAAATATTCGGCTTCTGGGTATAACCCCAAATCGGCTAGTTTCAGAAGAATTGGAAATATCCCCTCTTCATCATCTTTTTTTTGTTTTGACAATATTTTTTAATAAAAATCTTATGAATAGAGTTCAACTATTCAGGGTTGCTCATATTTACAAGTTTAGGAGAAGTAGAGACACGCGTAAAGTACTTATAATCTTCCTTTTTTTTTATCTTTTTTTTTGAAAAAATCTTTAGTTTTCTTTATATATACTTTCAAACAATATTATTCTAAAGAACAATTGAACCACCATTCTTTAAATACATAACAAACTTGAATTTTGGTTTAATTAATTTTTATTATTAATTCTTGTCTTTATTGTTAATATAGCATTTCAATTAAGTAATTATTGCTCTTTATCACATGATGTAACGGACTCATAGGTCCGTTATGTCATATGATTAAACTCCAACCTAGAAAAATCATTAAATTTTACAATAATATTGTAATGTTATTCAATCATTAAAATAATGTTGCAATATTATTAGAAAAATTGATTTATCAAATCGATGTTTGTATTTGAAGTAAAATTATAACCAAAGAATTAATTGATAGGTATTCT